TGTAGTAGGTCTTGAAATCCGGAATTGTGATACCTCCAGTTTTGTTATTCTTTCTCAAGATAGCTGTGGCTCTTTGTGTCTTTTGTGGTTCCATACAAATTTTAGTATTGTTCTAATTCTTCAAAAAATGCTGAACCAGTAATATTTTTTAAGTATGGGAGCACTAGAATTTTTAAATGGTCAGTTCTCTCAGGAGCTTAGAATGAATGATGAGGGAACAAACAAATCCAGAGTGGGGGAAAGGGTTGCCTTAACTATGACAGTGAAAATTGGAGAAAGGCAGAGGAGTGGGCAGGGAGGTTACGAAGGGAGGGACTTCAAGCTTTTAACTCTGGATTCCAGGGGAGCAGACTTGGGTACAGGAAGGGAAGTGTGATCATACGCAGAGTTTGAAACACTGTAAGATAAGGGTCTAGTGGATAGTAGGAATGAAACAGAGGCTGAAAAGTCATGCTTGTAAAGTGTAAGCATGTGAAATGTGCAGTTGAAGTCAAGGATGTGAACAGATGCCCTAGAGAAGGCATGGAGCAAGAAGAAAAGAACCTGGCATGCTGGTTGGCCAGAAGAAAAGCATTGGTGACAGGACAGTGTGAGGAGGGCACTCTGGATGGATGTCACGCTGTAGTAAAAGGAGGCTTAAATGAGCATTCAAGGAAACAGTGGTTTTCATCCCAGCTGCACAGTAGAATTGTCTATTAAAGTTGTTATTGCTGTTTTCTTTTAAACCAGCATTGCCTAGATATTCTGAGTTAATTGGTCTTCTTGAGGCCCCAAAAATCAGTATGGTTTTGAAAAGTTCCTGATATTTACAGCGCCTGGGTAGCTCAGCAGGTTAAACCTCCAATTCTTGGTTTCCACTCAGGTCATGATCTCAAGGTCGTGTGGTCGAACCCCACAAGGGGCTCTGTGCTCAGCGGGGAGACTGCTTAAGATTCTCTCCCTCCCTCTCCCTCTGCCCCTCCCCCTGCTTGCGTTCTCTCTCTCTAAAACAAAATCTTTATTTATTTTTTTTTTTAAAGATTTTATTTATTTATTTGACAGACAGAGATCACAAGTAGGCAGAGAGGCAGTCAGAGAGAGAGGAAGGGAAGCAGGCTCCCTGCTGAGCAGAGAGCCCGATGCGGGACTCGATCCCAGGACCCTGAGATCATGACCTGAGCCGAAGGCAGTGGCTTAACCCACTGAGCCACCCAGGCGCCCTAAAACAAAATCTTTAAATAAAAAAAATGATTCCCGTACTTAAGAACCATTTCCCTTGAATAGTCTTCTAAGAAGTGTGAATAAAACTCAGCAACTAGCAATATATGATGCCATATTTAAAATCACAAGGAGGGAATGCCTGGGTGGCTCAGTCGGTTAAGCGTCTGCTTTCAATTCGGGTTGTGATTCCAGGGTCCCGGAATTGAGTCCTACATGCGGCTCCCAAGCAGGGAGCCTGCTTCTCCCTCTGCCTACTGTCCCCCCAGCTTGTGTGTGCTTGCTCTCTCTCTGACAAATAAATAAACAAAATATTTAAAAAATTAAAAAAATTTTAAAAAATAAGGACTTAGAGAAGTACAAAAAAATGTTTCATGAAGAATCTCTATATTATTACACAAATATGAGAACTCTGACAAGTATTAGAAAGCTGGGTGGGAATGCTAAGAGTTAGTGTGGCTGTGGGGCACAGACACTCTTGAACCCTGCCGGTGGGTGGGTGAACTGGTACCATTTGGTAGAGCATCTTGGGCAACTCGACCTCTCAGGCACACCCTATGATGAGGGTTCCGCCACTGGATAGGCATGCTTAGAAATCCTCCTGAGGGCCCCTAAGGTGATGTGCTCCAGCATGTTCCACTGAAACCTTGTATAGTGTGAGAACTAGAGGTAATCTGAGTAGCTTTCTCTGGGAGAGTAGATCAGGTATAACTGGGTGGATGGACTCCATAGGATATTACACAGCCCTCAGAAGCAACAGGTTAGGTACATATGGATGTATGTATCATATGGATGGGTCTTTAAAAAATAATGCTTAGTAAAAACATAAGTAATAAGAAATATGAGAAAATCACATAAAAAGGGGGCGGAGGGTGGGAGGTTGGGGGAACCAGGTGGTGGGTATTGGAGAGGCCATGTATTGCATGGAGCACTGGGTGTGGTGCAAAAACAATGAATACTGTTACGCTGAAAATAAATTTTAAAAATTAAAAAATAATTAAAAAACATCCTCAGAAATCAACATATATTTTAGAAAAAATACTCAAAAAAGATGCAAACCAGTGAAAGTAATTGCCTACATAGGAGAATGAAGTGAGGATGACAGAAGAGATTTTATTTTTAAAAGTGATTCCACAGAGATGAAAAATACAGCATAGGGAATAAATATAGTCCGTGATAGCATAACAACATCGTATTGTGACAGATGGTGACCACACTTACCTGTGGTGAGCACAGAGCAAGGCAGACAATTGTCACATCATTTGTAATTATTATAGCATTGTGTGGCAACTATACTTAAGTTAAGAAAAAAAATTAAAAATAATAGAAAGTGTGATTCCCAGGAAGAATGGAATGAGAAATGAGGTCCAGGGGAGGAGTGTGTGTGTGTGTGTGTGTGTGTGTGTGTGTATGTTTCAGTAGAATAAAGTGGTGTTGTAAATGTGTGGATGAAATGGCAGATTCCAATACAAATCTCACTTCCCCTCTATTTGTTCAGTGCTGGTAATAACAACACTACTTAAGCAACATATGCTCCTTACAGACATCCCAGAAAATTACCAGTAAAACTGACCTAACGATCCTTAAACCCACGCACCCAGGGTAAGTATCCAGATCCTTTCCTATGAGCACATTGCAAATTCAGTTAGCCCTTCCTATAACCTGACATGTCCGTGGGGGTACCGTGTACTCTGGGCTTCCTCCATGCGCAGACACGTTCATGGTTTTCCCCAGCTGCATGGAGCCCCGCCGTACAGATGCCTGTCCCTGACCGAGCCAGCCCTCTTCCGCTGGACACCAGCTGTCACAAATCCTGCGGTCCCAGCTGCTGCAGTGAACAGACATGAGCTCTCTATCTTGGAAGATGATTTCCTGTCCTTCCTTTGGCTCCTGTTTAAAGGAGGCTTAAGGATCGGGTTTGAAACTTGTCTTATACATAAAAATTCCCTGGGCATTGTCAATGTCCAAGCACCAGCACCCCCCTCAACCTCCCTCCTGCCCCAGCCCAGGGAGTGGTTCTGGGGGCCAGTCATGAATGATAGTGAAGGAGCAGTCACTCCCCACTCTCTGGAAGCAGTCATTTTAGGTACTTGTCAGGATGCCAAAGTACAATATGGGCTCTCTGGTTTCTGTACTTTAATCAATTGATGCACAGTTAAATCACATAGGGCACTGAGGGCGCCCATGCGGACCGTGTGCGTCACCTGACCTGTGAGTCTCACGTGCGTAGGTGGTGAAATGCGAGGCGTTGAGTTTTTAGGAAATGGCAAGGAAATCACTGTTTATGCGGGGCGGGAAATGAAAGTAGGTTCCTAAATACCCAGTGCCAAAGTAGGGAACAGAAGAAGCAAGCCCAGGAGAAAGCGCAGTGTGTTTTGCTGAGTGCTGTCTGCTCCCCAGAATACCCCAAAACTAGGTTTTAAAGATTTAGTTTAATCCTTCCAGTTGGTGGGTTTAAGCCTCAGCAATCCAGCACCGGTGTTTCCTCAGGCCTGGGTGTTCAGAGCCGGCCAGGCACTGTGCGACAGTCGCCCCCACTGCCCACCCAGTAGCAGCCTCCTTGCTGGGGACCCCTGCCTTCGTGGCAGGAATGTGCTAACACTTTCTGTCGTTGGCGCAGCACTTGTTACGCGAGCGAGCGGGAGAAAGGCTCTTCTGTCTTTCCCAACTGGTCCTTTGTTGTTAAGAAGCTTCTGAGTAAATGCCGGAGAACCACGAATCGGTCATGTTTGAGCATCACCAACACATGCTAGTAAAGTGAATGTGGTTTATTTATTAAAAAAAAAAAAACCCTCTGAGTTGATACAGCCTTTTCTGCGGCCCTTTGCAACGCTCTCGAATGTGTTTCCCAGCCCGCGTGTATATTATTAACCTATAACCCCGCCGCTGAGAATTCGCGCCGGGTGCTCCCGGCAGAGGCAGACAGGGGCTAAGCCTCGACATGAGTTACAGTGGATAGGGCCAGGGAAGCTCAAGACAAGGCTTACAGAAATCCCTTCAGTGGCCCTGCTTAAAAATAGCAGTGCAGGCCATAGCTTAGTGTTTTGACAGCTTAGATCAGCAGTTTTCTCGGCTGATACATTGATTGCCGTTTGGACTTCAGTCCTGCTGATCTAATAAAACATCACCGTCATAACAGAGAAAGTAAAAGGATCTCTTGTGGTCCCAGCCACTCGGGAAATAGCTCTACAGAGCTGCTGCTGGAAGGCCAGCCTTCCCGTCTGATGTCAGATGAAGTGACCTTGGGCCAACTGACGAATCCTATCCAGTTTGGGTTTGTTGTTTTTTTTTTTTAAATTATTTAACTTCTTCATCTATCAAGAGCTATTGTCTCTTAACACTATTTTGAATATTTTTACAAATTCATTTTACAAATACAAACATTTGTTTCAAGGACTACGAGGGTGCCTTCATAAATACTGAACCCAGACTTGTTTTACCGTGTAGCAGGATCCCAACAGCCTAATTACGCCTCAGAATCTGCAATATTGGGGCACCTGGGTGGCTCCGTCCGTTAAGTGTCTGCTTTTGGGTCAGGTCATGATCCCAGGGTCCTGGGGTCAAGTCCCACATCAGGCTTCTTGCTCATTGTTCTCCCTCTCCCTCTGCACTCTTTCTCTCAAGTAAATAAATAAAATATTTAAAAAAAAGAATCTGCAATATTGTTATACTAAGTGAGTGGGTGTGCACAAAAGTTAACTGAAGTCTGGATTAAACTATTAACATGCAAAAATCTCCTCATGCGTTTGAAAGGCTGTTACTATGTCACAGTCACCGGGCCTTCCGTGTCCTTACTTTGACAGCAATTGCTGACCATCCAGGAGGAGCTAAACAATAAGAAGTCAGAACTGGAACAAGCAAAGGAAGAGCAGTCCCACACGCAGGCGCTACTCAAAGTCCTCCAGGAGCAGGTAAGTGAAGGCAGCAGCTCCGATTCAGACACGTGCCTCCCTCCTGCCCCACCCGCACCCAGACGTTTCTGAAGCTGGTCTGTGGTAGGGATCGCCTCTACCCATCACACTCCCCGCAGCGCTGCTGTGTGGAATTCACAATCTGTGCTCACTCCTGCCCCGATGGGGACCCCCCGAGCCTGCCAGCAACCCGTGAAAATTTCCTCCAAAAGACAAATGCTTTTTGATAAAGTTTTAAAGTCTCAGAGATGCAGCTATACGTCCACGCGGGCCGCTAGTTTCCCCGTAAGTGTTACAGCGAGGCACGTGCGTTCAGCATTACCCATGGCACTCGGGCAGACATATGAATGGGAACGACTGATTCATCGGGGTGTTAAAAAAAGAAAAAAGCATCCCCGCCCATCAGGGCACTTATCTAACCACAGTGAGCAGCAAACCTTTTCTATGAAGTTTGTAAATCTGACCATTTCATCCCGGCTTTCTTTGATACTGAAGTGTGGCCTGACATTGATAAGTGTATTTGGAAGTATTGTCTTACAGCAGGGTAAGATGGATTGCTGGGCAGCAGGGTGAAATCCGAGTGAAATCTGAGCTCCCTATCTGCGCGGGAGAGCTCTTGAAATGCTTTCCTGTTTCTGGCCTTCCCACGTTGCCAAGGATGGAATGAATGGTAATTGGGAGGCAGAAAAAAAAAATCACAGAGTAACCCCAACCCTTTGGGGTAATCAAATTTAGCTTGTTTAACATTTTTTTTTCACCCACTGTGGCTTATGCGAAGGTTCTTTGTACCATAGAAATAACTTCAAAAGTGATATTTCTAAAAATATGACGTTGGGAGAATATAGCCAGCTGTGACTCAGTCACTTTACAAGTGGTTTTTAGATTTTTGTGGCTTGGGAGCAGGAAAATACAGTTTCTGTTCCTTTCTCCTGAAAGTATTAAGTGACTTGTGAGTGAAAAGTGAAGATGTGGGATGCTTCACAAGCTTCAGAGGAACATGCTTTGTGAAACTGCTGATCATGTGATTACCACAGGTTGAGTAACATCGACTGAGGCTGAAGGTGTATGATTTGGGGTGAAGTTCGATTGGATGGAAACTGAATTCTCCATGACCGGCTAGTTAGGAGCCCCCAGCTCACTGGGCTTTCCTCCTCTGCATGACTGAAAGACTTCCAGAAGAGTAGAGCAGCGTTGATTTGGTCCACATTTGCTCCTGATCAGACAGAGCTCTGAGCTTTGCTGTTCTGTGCTCTTCCCCCCCTCCCCCACCCCCCTACTTCCCCCCCCCCCCCGCCTCCTCCCTTTGCTGGGATGGGGAGGGATGGATTTCTCCTTTCTCCAGAGGACTCCCATCTTTTCTGTACATTGTCTTTTTAGACATGATGCTATTGCACACTTAGTAGACCACAGGACAGTGAAAACTTAACTTTTATATTCACTGGAAAACCCAGAAGTTCAGTTGACTTGCTTTACTGAGGTCTGGAACCGAACCTGCGATGCCTCTGAGCTATGCTTGTATTTTGATTTGAAGTCTGAGCCCTGGTCACAAAAAGAGATTCTGAGGTTTGCAGAAAGCACTGTATCTTCTTGGTATGGTCTGCATTTTTAGAGAGCAGAAAGCTCATACACAGGCAGCAGTGAAACATCACACTTCATCCCCATCCCTTAAAAAAAATGGAGAACATGAAGAAGCTCCAGAACAACTAAAATCATTAAAGAGCTAGAAAATATGACTGGGAAGGAATCATCTTTAGATCTGCTGTGCTTATCTAAAGGGGATAGCTCTTTTCAAGCAAAGACATCAAAAGCACGTCCATCTGAGAAGGCACCACAGCAAACACATCTGGGTGCTCCTGCCAACCCCAGACTGTTCTTCCGAGCACCCCTAGGCAGGTGCCCCCGTCATCCTTGCAACTGGGAGCACAGCGGACACATTCCCTCCGTCTCCTTGTGGCCAACCACCCCCACACAGACATACACTTGAAAACGCACCTCTGTACCTCCATGAGCATTGTCCCGTTAGGCTTTCTTTGGATGTAGGTGGAGTAAGTACATGTGTAAACCCTTGTTCAGTGCCTGCATAGGTAGGTACTCCTGGAGAGTATGTCTGTGTGTGCCTAGAGTCTTGTTTTCGTGTACACACGCACACACACACACACACACGAAGAGACCCACCTTATTCTGAAGACCCAGTACTTTACTATTCAAAGTGATGCCACTTGATGGGAATCCTAAAAAGAAAGAGTAGCTCATGAGCTACGTGAGCCCCTGCCCCATCCCCATCGGGGGAGGCAGGATTATTCCCCAGGTTCTCCTAAGGAAGGTCCCAGCCTTCCTTATTTGTTAGGATGCGGCTTCTCTCAGTCCCTTTAGGCCCCACCGGCTCCTGCCCTTCACCTCCTTTCCAAACCCGCAGCTTTTGACATCTGGAGCTCCTTCCCAAGCCTGGCTATCATCAGCCAGGACGCTCCTCCACTCCATCTGCAGGAGGGGGAGCGGCTAGAGGAGAGAAGGATGGGCGGAGGCCAGTGAGGGCAAAGCAGCGACCAGCCTACAGGTGCAGGAGGGAGCGGTGGCCTGTGGCGGCTCTGGCAGAGGAGAGCAGGGCAGGGAGCAGGACCGGTGGACAGGGAGTACGAGGAGAGCCAACAGCAAGTGTCCAAAGACAGGAGGACGTAGAGCATCAGGATGGAATCTTTTTACAAGGGAGGAGAGCAGGGGGCCTGTCTGTGCCAGTAAACTTGTAAAGGGTGGAACCGGCTTCCACGACATGGTCCTTTACTTCCGCAGCAAAATATCAAAGTCTTCCCTTGCTGAGCCGGCTCTGTGTCATGGAAGCAGAGCCTCAGGACCTAAAGTGAGCAGAAAGGGTTGGTAAGGAGAAGGGAGGGGGGAAACACCTGCAAGACAGAAACCTTTCTCCAGGAACACAGAGAGGGTCTTAAGTCCTTCCGTGCCTTGTGATATTGGCTGGTCTTGCTATCACTGTAGGCTCATCTGCTTTTCTTTTTTTTCTTTTTAAGATTTTATTTATTTATTTGACAGAGCAAGATCACAAGTAGGCAGAGAGGCAGGCAGAGAGAGAGAGGGAAGCAGGCTCTCCGCTGAGCAGAGAGCCTGATGCGGGCCTCGATCCCAGGACCCCGAGATCATGACCTGAGCTGAAGGCAGAGGCTTTAACCCACTGAGCCGCCCAGGTGCCCCCATCTGCTTTTCTTGTCTGTAACATATTGTAGTTGCGTGGGGAAACATCAGTGAGGGAGCCCTGAGACCAGTGGACGCAATTCTTGTTTCCCAAGTGGGAGTGATGTGCAAATGAGTCAAAGAGCCTCTGGTCCAGAGTCTGCTGCCCCAGCCTCAGCTTCTTCGTGTTACCCCTCCTCTGGCAAAGCCCCTCTCTTGGCACGGAGAGCGTGTGGCTTTCTTGCTGAGAATTGGACATTGTCTTTAAAAAAAAAAAAAAAAAAGATGCTTTTGTTTTAATATGTACAGATAACCAGAAAGAACCAATATTCTGGATCATATGCACTGTCAATATACATGCATTTATTTTCTTTTCTTTCCAACTTTAAGCATTTATTTCCTGCCATGAATACTTTATTTTTGGCATAAAAAAAGATGATGACGAAGCTGCTGCTTCCTAAGCACTAATAAGCCAGGAAGAAATACTGGCCAGCAGCTGTGAGGTCTGCTCACCCTTTGCCCTTGCTCTCTGCTTCCAAATGTCTGCTTTGAGCTGGGCGAGGATAAAATGCCAATTAAAGGTTTCCAGAAATCTCCTGATAACGGATCACTCCTAAGCCTTCTGAGAGAGTAGAGAGAGTAGTGTTTTCAAATGTTCACTGTTAAAAATCTCATTTGAGAAAGAGCTTTTCTTCTGATGCCTCAGTGACCGAGGAAATGTCTTCCCTATCCTTCCTTTACAAAAAGAAGAAAATCATCTTTTTTTTTTCAGGCCTCCAGAAACAATGCCAGTCATTCAAATATGTTCTCAAGGAGGACACATAGAGTAGCACTGCGGCATGTTAGAACAACCGAAAATACATCATTCACGAGTAATTGTTAGTATAACATCTTTTAGCTGGTGGCAACTTGCAAACGTTGCAGGGTTGAAATTAATAGCAATACAACTAGGAAATGAAATCATTTATTATTCTTAAGAACCAATTTTATACGTTTTATGCCTATGGAACTGCTTTCTAATCTTATTATTTAAAAAATAATGACCAAGACCCATTTATTTTTTGCCAGCCATCAAGTTTTATAAAATATTGGTCTCCGACTGGTTTCAGTAAGACTCATTAGAATTATGTGCTCCATCTGTTTTTTTTTCTCATAAGTTTTATAAAGTGCAACCTCAAGATAAATCAGAATTAACAGGATGATATATACTTAACAGATATGCTTGCTTATTCATTTGGGCTTTTGCTTTTTCTTTTGCAGTTAAAAGGTACCAAGGAATTGGTTGAGACCAATGGCCACAGCCATGAGGACACAAATGTAGGTACCACTCACCTAATATATGCTCTTGTTGCTTGATGTTGATTGAATGCCCACAGGTATGTGGCATTTTATTTATAACACCAAGGAAGTCAGAAGCCCTACCTCTCAGTGGCTTATTAAGATTACTATGAATGGTTTGGCAATAAAGTGTGGAAGACAGGTACTGCTGTTGTTAGCTGAGATTAGCAAACGTCAATTTCAAGGTACATGAGCCAATCTCCATTGTAAAAATTCTCATCTCAGTGAATTTCTTTGAGCCCTTTATATTTTCAAAGCTATACACTAATGATGGGTTGGGAGGGCAAATGGAATGAGACCAAACAGGGTAATAAGTTGTATATTGCATGTATATTTTATTAAGTTTGCTTGTCACTGAAGATGGAAATGAAATGATTGTTATCCTGGAGAGGATTGAGAGCAAACTCCTTCTCTCAGAAAAGCCTTTGAGAGCATTGCCTCTCTCTGTTTCTGACCCAGAACAGTAGCATGGCCCGTCCATCTTCTTGATACAAGATCCCAGTGAGCACCCTAATTTCCTCGCGTATCCAGTTGCCAACCTTCGTCAAGTACTCTCTTTGCCTTGGAAGGTCCTCAGTCTCAGATGGAACATTATTCCGTGTAGATCATTGTCTCTCCCTGGGTTGGATGGTTTTGCTTTTGTCTTTTTAAAAATCTGATATCTGTATGTATTTGATTATCCTCATCACAGAAAATGCTTACTAAGCAGTTCTTTTCATCTAACACAGAATCAGACATGGTAATGAATGCCTGATTAAGCTAGAGCTAGGAGAAATTATACATTTCATGTTCACTCTTGTTTTAATTATATACTGCGGAAAGCCTAACATCCAAAGCACCAAAAAATCCCTCTTAATAGCTGTTGTTCCTACCAAACAGATAGTTAACGTCTGACGTTTATTGAGAACCTACTGTGTACATGGAGCTCTGCTAAGTGCTGACAGTGGGGACGGTTACAAGGAAACGTAAGGCTTGCTGTCCGCTCTCTGAGAACTTAGAACTCAGTGGAGGAACGAGAGGACACTTGAGCGATATACAAGATGTGATAAGCGTACAGGAACGTGAGGCAGCTGTGACGTGATGTAGTGTGAAATCTGGACTTTGCGTCTTATTAACCGTTCAGTTGGGGCAGGTGAGCCCTCCTGAGCTTCGTTTTTCTGTTTGTAAAACAGATGGCAAAGCTACCCTCAGAAATGTGTCATGATGTTGCAACGAGCTAAGGCACATGGGAACCTTAAGGTGGTATTATTATGGTTTCCTTGTGGTGGATAATTAAGAATGGCTTTCCATTTTGGGTGGCTCAGTCAGTCAAGCGTCTGCCTTCAGATGATCTCAGTGTCCTGGGATCAAGCCTGGCATCAGGCTCCCTGCTCAGTAGGGTGCCTGCTTCTCTGTCTCCTTCTGCTCCTCCCCCTGCTTGTGCTCTCTCTGTCTCTCTGCCAAATAAATACACAAAATCTTAAAAAAAAATGGCTTCCCAGATCTGTGGGATTTGGGTTGGCTCTGAAGAATGGAGAGGCCTGAGAAAGTAGAAAAGGAGAGGAAGAAGCTCTCTACAGGCAATATTTCTACCGAAGTAGTTTCTCTTCCCACTCAAATATTTCATAAGCCCTGTCCTTACCCTAGAGCTTTTTTCCAGGGTTCTGTCCTCCAGCAATACATTGCCATGTTTCAACCAGAACCTTCATGTGCTCTCCCCTCAGTCAGTCCCTCTGTGCCTTCCGAGGAAGCTACCATCAAATCCAACAAGCCAGCCAAAACTGCAGTATGCCTCAGTTTCCTGGTCTATAAATGGGGATGGGGTTACCTGCCTTTCTTTACATAAGGCTTATGGTGAGAAGCGAATGAGAGAACAGACATGGAATTACTTTGTAACTGTGAGGTTCTGAGCAGGATGTAGTTACGATTATGGGCTCATCTGTAGGTTTAATTAAATTGATGATACTTGTGAAGATAAGCCTACCATAATATCTAGTCCCTAGGCTCTCATTTTGAGAAATGTCAAAAGCCGTTCATTATTAAATTTAAAAAGTGGAAGATCATCTTTGAGGTATTTTGTTCTTCCTAAAGGGAAGTTTTTAGCTTTGAAAAATTCCTCTCTGGAATCCAGGATATGGGCTTTGTAACCAGCAGAAGAAATGACTGTTGGGAGATGAGGTTCAAGTCAAGTAGGAGGGAGGAGCAGCATCGTGACCAGAGGTGGGTGAGATATTTGTGGAAGACTGAGCCCAGCCACACTTGCTGGTCACTGCTGGTGGCCACGGCCTCTGGGACCAGAAGGCCGGGTAGTCGTCATAATCACTGCCTGGTCGTTCAGGGGTTTCCCAATAAGTGGGCTCTTCACTTGTCTTTCTCTCTTTTGTCTGTAGTGTTGTCTCCTTTGGGCAGTTTCCCTACCACCTTCACTGGGGTGATGTGAATGAAAAGAAACAAAAATAAATTATTTTGGCCACAGTGAGAAGCCCTTGAGCAATATCTTATGAAGATATTTTTAAATGTCTGCTATGAAGTCTGTGTCCCATCTAACGTTTCCATCAGCTCTGCGGTGGAAGAAGGAATCAGGGCTTTCAAACCAGACTGAGAGGTTTTAAGTCCCATTTTGGCCCCTGAATAAACTTGTGACCAGGGCAAGTTATTTGACCTTTTTGAACTTCACCTTCCCTATCCATAAGTGTGCTCAGGGAAACCAGATACGTAAACACAGGGGTCAGACTACATTACTCATCAGTTCCCTCTCTTCACTTAGGCCCATGAAGTGTTTAATGTGGAAAGCGGAATTTTGACAGGATGAATTTTAATGCAGTTCATGAGGTTTAAAGTCTCTGGCCCAGAGGTTACTGACAAAGACGTATAGATTTTTTTTTTTTTACTGTGATTATTCACGTATGCAGAGATTTTGCATATTATTTATTAGTAACAATTATACAGGACTGGTGCTGGCTTAGCTGGATATTCTTGTGAGAGTTGACAAGTGCTTTTTAAAAACAATACGTTTTATTGTAAAAGAAGTAGTTTGTATGGAACTGGAAAATTACAGAAAAAAATACAGAGGTAAAGAAAAATCACTTAGTATCTCATTACTCAGAGGTAACCATGTTAATGTTTTATTTTCCTTCTCTCCAGTCATGTGCATATATATGACCAGAGGGAAAAACCCATAAATAAATATTATCATATTATTTTCAGTTTTGTACCTTTTTGATTTCTCATTATATCTTAAGTATTTTCCTTGTCACCAAATGTTCCTCAAAGACGTGATTCTTAATGACTGCATAATGCAGATATGCAATAATTGAACCACAGGCCTATGTTAGGCATTTAACTTCTCATTTTTTCACTATTATAAATAGTGCTGTAATTAACATGCCCGTAAATCTTGTTCTGCATCTTTCATATTTGTTTCTGGGGGATACCGTATATTAATAGCCATGTCATCAAGTCTGGCAGGGAGCGTCAGACTTACAGAATTGTTAGCATTTTAGAATGTGGTAGAGCAGATGTACACTTATGGTATCCATTAGTGGTCCTGAAGGGACCCATAAAAATATGTCTAGTCTTGTAATTTACTGACTCTGTTGCCTTAGTCCCAAGAGTTATCAGGCTTGTGGGATGTTAACCACACATAGATTTGGTCTGTTACTATTATTTCTCTACTGTGTTTACATTTTATTGAACAACAACTCTCTGACCATCACCACCTTGTCTGGTATTCCCGAGGTCCCCAAACTGAAGCGCCTTAATAAACCTACCCTTGTCCCCTATCACAAGATCTGTGAGTTCATGCACATGAGAAGTTTTCTGAGGTCTGATTTAAAACCATCAGAGCCAGAAACTGAGATCACCTGCACATACCTTGCTCTCCAAGAGCACTGCACTTTCTGGTTTTAAATAGGTTTTTCCTTCTGTTTGGAACTGGATATGTTAATGACAGCTGGGCAGTCCAGCTTTCTAAGTGTAGCCAAGTTTAGCCTTGATCACAGTTCCTTTAGAAATTTCAGTTATTCCAGACCTAGTTTCCTTTCCTAAAAAGCAAACTTAAGAATTTCCTTTTTATCTCTGTCTCTGAGCTATCTCCTAATCCCTAGAACTGCTAAACAACTAGCCTGGCCCCTAGTAATCATATATAACAGAGACCAAAGTCTAAAAAAAAAAAAAAGATCATCTGTGCTCATCTTGCATCTCTTTTTTGATGACCTTCTCCCCAGAGCTATCCCCACCTGTGATCCTTACGTGTGAATGTTTGGTGAGAATGTGGAGGGGAAGGGAGAGGATGCGAGAAATGTAGAAAGAATTTGGAGGAGTCAAGTACAGTGGTGGCTGAAGCCTGCAGTGTATGCACAATTTGGTCTAAGAATTTTCCATGAATTTCCACTGTTCCCACCCTTGTGTCCACTATATTAAAGCCTCAACACCACAGTCTTCTGGTTGCCCAGTTCAGACTCACACACTGGGGTTAGAGGAATCATTTGCAACCTGTGAAGAGACTTAATTCATGATACTGAAGGTTCCCATTGTCAAGCACAACACCCTTCCCACCAACAATAAAACAAAAACACGAAAGAGAAAAAAGACTTTTCAGTTTTTCACGCTGCCTCTGTAAGAAAGTAAATCCTCAGAGTTGTCTTTAAATCTGTCAGACTAAAGATGTTAGGAGTGTAGAGAAGAGATACTGTGTGAAGAACATTCTTCAGGTTTCACACACCGCAGCAGAAAGCCACTGTTAACCCTGTATTTTAATGATGTCTGTGGTGGAACTTCCGCAAGGGCTGGGTCCGTTGCCCAGTTTCGGAACGTGGCTTTCATCCTTGAGGCTGGCGAGCACAGGAGGTGAAAATATACACTGGTGTAGTAAATAAGGCGGGAAAGAAGAAAGGAAAGCCCCACAGGAGAATGGGCCCATATTCTCAAAAGGCTAAAACACCTTGGCTCCATCCTTTCCTTCCGTAACGACTTGTTACCTACCTGCTCTTGGGGGTCCC